AGCTACTGATGGTGGTCACAGCTGCCCTTGAACTTCCAGGGTTCTCTGGCTTTCCCATATCACATCACAGAAAGCTCCTTTCCTAACACCGACGTCTTGTAGCGATGCTTACGTGAGTGCAGAAGGCACGGCATGGGGAGGAGAAGCACCCTCCGGCCATGGAGATGCTCACTCCAATTCACTTGATAACGGCAATGAGAAAGTGGAAGTTATTATCTCCCCGTCCCCATCCTTCCTTGGATGCTCCCGACCTTCCTGTTGATGTTTGCAGAAGCGCTTTGATCTCTCCCGGATAGCAGCTAGTCCCGTGAACAGGCAGGTCTCCTGGCTGCAATGACACCTCGAGCCGAGTCCTCTTCCGACACTGGAGCTTGGCACAGCCCGGGCGAAGGGAAGGGCCCCTGACTGTCGCAGGGAGAGTTTCTGGGGTAGCTTTGGGCCAGTTTTTGGCTTCAGGGAGGATCAGGTATAAATGGATGGTTTTGTAGAAGCCCTCGGCACGCCACGTGCCAAAATCTTTGAGAAGATCGGCCTCGGTGGGTTGGGGTCACCCCTTGCAGTGCAGGGGGCTGGGTGTTGTCCTCCTGACTGCAGGCAGGGAGAGGTTTCTTTCTGGTGAAAGAATTGAGATTTTTGGTGGAAATTCAAAGAGTGAAAAGCTCTGGCAGAAATCCAGGCTGCGCTGGCTTGCTGGCGCTTGGGGTTTCGTTTGGAAAAAAAAAAAAAAAAGTCCTGAAACTTTCCACGGGAAGCGGGCGCTTTTCACAAAACATGAATTTAGTTGGTGGTCTGACGGTGGTGGTGTTACCAATAAAAACGGGTCGTTACCACCGCTTTATACCACGTTTAGACCTGCGGGTCCCTGGCAAACGCCGCCCGTGCCCACCACCGCCTGTGGCAGAAATACTGGTTTGGATGGTGCATGGTCGCCAGAGACTCGGCGTCACTTTTCCCAAGTGTCTGGGTAATTAATCTCTGGAACGTGGTGTGAGCGAGCACGTTGCCCCGGCCTCAGCTCTCCCTGCCCTTGCCCTCTCGTGCTGCTTGTCCGTCCGTCTGTCCATCCTTCCTTCCCTCCCCAGCCCCTGGTTTGGCAGTGAGCGGCTGAGCTCAGCATCCCCAGGGGCAGCGGCTTATCAGCTGTGGGTGAAAATGCTTCGTGCTTATCCCTTGCTTATCTGCGAGGAGTCTTCTGGGGCCTGATTAGGGGTTGCAAAGCGATGTTCAGATGAAAGGTGCTATGGGGGAAAGGGTTGCGTCCACCGATTATTTATCCCCTGCGCACGCTCCGAACGCCGGCCGGGCTCCCCAGCCTCCCCGCCGCCTGCTCCGGGCCGGGGATGGTGCCAAGGTTTGATGTCCTGCTTGGTCCAACGCGGCGAAAGGACCATCGCCTCCGTAAATTAGCAATGATTTAGTCTGATTCACGCTGGCAATTCCTGCGTGCCTTCGTTTCAGGGGACTGGCGGAGAGTGGGAGGGGGAGCTACATGTTTTAAACTCCAGCTCCCTGCAGACCTCATTGAGCTGCATTCCCCCCCTGCCTGCGAGGTTTGTTTGCAACTCTCCTGTGCATCCAGAGGAGAATTAGCTGCTTTGGTGTGTGGCCCTGGGTTTGCACATGGAAAAGCCAAGTAAATATATGACATTGCTGGGGAAACTTCAGAGAAAATTAGCCACAGCTTCTCCCACCTTCCCCTCCCTGGGGTTCCTGAGCATCCCCGAGTAGAAGCTTGCAGGATTCTCTCCACCCACACTTTTTTTCCTACTTTAAGCTCTTCCCACCCCCTCCCTGCAGTGCTTCGCCCTCCTCCCTCCCAGCTGAACCCCACCGCTTTCCCAAACTCCCGGGACCTCCCCGGGGCGGTGGGGGGTTGTGCGGGCCAGGGGCCGGGATGCTCCCCCAGCCCTGCGGCACAGGGGGACCGGGGTGGGAATGCTCCGGCTGTGACTCAGAGAGCTCGCACTCTTCAGGAACAGGATTTCAAGGGATTTCACACCCCAAACACAACCCCAGCTTTCTCTCGCTCAGCAGAAATGAGAGATCAAAAAAATGCACCGATTCTGGTTTTCCTTCGGTGTATATAGACCCGTGCTCAGCTGGTAACCGTGCCACGCCGGTAATCCGCGGCAGTAAAAGATACCCACCCATCTCTCTCCAACTTGTTTGCATTATGCCCATCATACATTTTCTAAACAGAATAAAACACTTAGCGGCTCTTAATTTTTCAGCAAATGGTTGTAACGTTGCTGTATCAGGTACATGTTGTCCTCCCCCATTTCGCAGGCTGGGATGCCGACTTACGTAGGGGCAAAAATTCTTGGTGCCAGCAGCAGCTTGCTGTCGCGTTTCGAAGCGCAGGGTCTATCTATTTGTTTTAAAAGCTCAGATAAGATCCGTACCTCTCATCTTCTTTTCTTCCTTACTGCTTTTGCTCCTGCTTATGCATCTTTTTTTTTCCCCCTCTAACAGAACCAAAAGGCAAAGATTCAGAAACCACGAAGATTATCTCAAATTGTAAAATAGCAACAACAAAAAAAAAAAATTGGTGAATAGACATTACTTGCACGGGGTTATTTTTTAGAGGTTTTACCGAGATAGACGTAATTAGCCAACTGGCATCACGATGCTAATAGGGATATTTACTGCTTCAAAGTGTATTTGCAGGGTTGTGAAGCGCTCCAGTGACTTGCTTTTGTTCTGGAAGAAAGTAGCTGGGATTTTTTTTCCTTTCCCTCTCCACGGTGCGGCGGAGATGGGGGACGGAACGGGACCCCCTGTGCTCCCCGCTGCCTTCCCCTCGGCTGCTGCCTGCGCTGCCAGCTCGGTCGCACCCGGCCGATGCTGATTCACGGCTGTGCCCTGCCCTTTTCCCGCATCCCTCTTTTATTACCAGAACTGCCTTGATTTAACCCAGCTTACCAGCGGACAACGACTGTCGGGATTGCTTCTCTAAATAACCCGCGTTGGCAGGGTTAGCCAGACAAGGGAGAGGGGGAGGTTGTGCGCAGGTAATGCTTTAATCGCCCTTTTAATTGTGCTTTCCCACTAGGAACCAGCCTAGCTCCAGCTTGAACCCTGTGCTTGCTCCCGCGCTGCCGGAGATTGCCCAGCAGCCACCATGGCTCGTCGTGCAAGCTGGTTTTTCTTGGGGTAACTCACTCCCCTGGGTAAAGACCACATCTTTTTCTCTTCCTTCCACCAAGATAGGTTGATGCCATCACTTCCAAAAACATCGAGTGACGGCACCTGGCTGCGGATGGGACAGCCTGTGCCTGCGAGAGTAAGGGAAGTGCCTCATTTTAGTTTATATTTGACCCATGTAGGAAAACACAAAGAAAAAATCCTTATTTTTTTGCTTTCTTCCTGTAAGGCACCACACACCCAGTTATTGACAGGGTAATTATACACCAGACAAGTGTTTGTTTATAAAAGAAGTGTGATTCACGGCTGCCGGGCCTGCCACAGGAGCTGGAAAGGGTTAACAACCTAAAATTATATCAGTCCAACCGGAGAACCATAAACAGGAAGTTCTCCAGAAAAATTTAAATTTAAACCTGGTGACTCAGGTTGGCTTGTGCTCCCTGAGCCGCTCAGGAGGTACGGACGGGTTGCAGCCCCGGTTTATTACCGGAGGCTAATTACACCGTTGGTTTGAAAACAGCGGCAAAGATGGGCAGAAGGGAGGCCGGGAGGGATCAGGTTGTCGGATAATCTTGGTTTTGCTTCGTCCGCGTGGATGGCGTGTCGCTTCGTCGCAAGCACTTTCTTCCATCGCATGGCATTGCTCATAGCTGTGTTTTACAGCACATTACGCTAATAAAAATGTTTTCTGGGGTTCCAGTTGTCCGATCGAGCAGTGTTATAGCAGCGCCGGTGCAGGGGAACTTTTAAGTAAAGCTGATGAGAAGCAAATGGAGAACCAGCCATGCGTTTGCTGCCCAGCAGTGAGAAAAGCCAGCTTGGGAGGCAGGGTGACCAGTGGCCAAGCCAGAGTCCTAAAATGCATGTTATTAGCTTAGACTTCGGGTAGCAGTGTGAGAATTTGGACTGGTCCGAGAGGGGACTCGGCACCTTCCCAAGAAGCGCCTGGTGCGGATTTGGGATGGGGTGCCAATGCGGCTGAGCTATAGGCATGCTCTAGGTGAGGCATCTCTGGGAAAAGATACTTGCATTTCATTATGGGACCAGTTTTTTTCTTTTTTGTTAAAGCAGTATGATGCAGAAAGCGTTGGGAGATTTTGGGTGAGATGCTTTAATGAAGCAGCACCTCTTTAACTTAATTAAATACGTTGAAAACAGCAGTTGAATTCCTGGATTGTTATTGTACTGATAGGTGAAACAAATCCAGTTATTTTCAGGATGGCTGCGTGGCTGTAACCGTCTGACCCAGCCACCCTTACATATGTTGCGTAATTTATTTTGAGTACTCTTCACCTTTGAGCTAGCTCGCGTGGGGAAAATCATTCAGGTAACCCAGATTTTACTAGCAACCATATTAAAGATTTTAAGAATGAAGGCTGTTCTGCCGGCAGGTGAGCCGCTCCTACAGCTGTTGTATCAGAGAAATCCTTTGAAGCTGCTCACAGCTCCAGACACTCGAGTTGTTACTTTTTTTAATATCCTCTTTCTAAATATTTACAGGGTTTGGTTTTTTATTTTTATTTTTTTTTCCTCCCCTTCCGATTTGTTTTTAAACATAGCTGGTTCTTCAGATGTTTATTTTGCCGAGGAATGCCTGGAGCATCCATTGCATTTATTTGCCTTACTAGGACGGCAGGACGGGGGGAAAGGGGTGTGCTGTGGCCGGAGGTGGAGATGCTGACCTCGGGGGAGACACCTGCTCTCGGAGAGGAAGCACGCTGCACGAAAAGGGGTGCTGCTGCCCCGGGACAAGCCCTGCTCACCCCAAAACCCATCACCGAGGAGGAGACCCGTGGGGCTGGGCTGTTTGAGGCCAGCGTCGCTTGCTTACACGTTCCCTCTTCTCTCTTTTCCAGGATACCGTTCAAGATCGGGCAGCCCAAGAAACAGATTGTACCCAAGACAGTGAGTAAACCAGTTCCCCCTTTTTAGATCCAGCCTTTGATCATGTGGCTGATGAGTCAAGCCGGCACTTTGACTCGTCCCATTTTGCGAGCGTGTGCGTGTGCGCGCGCGTGGGAGGGAGATGTGAGCGAGCAGAACCTGTTGCCGCGTGTGACCAGCGCTCGGTTCCTCGTGCGAGGAGTGAGGGGGAGCCCCAACCAGGGAGAGTATTTTGGTTTGGGATCTGTTTCTTTTTTTTTTGTTTTGTTTTGGGGGGGGGGGGCGGCGTTGAGGGGAAGAGCTCTTTTGGTCTGGCACAGTTTTCCTCGGAGATGGCTGAACGGGCTTCCTTCCTTCCTTCCTTCTTTCAGCAATGGCTTGCTTGTTCATCCTTTCTGA